AAAGCTTAATGGTGGGAACTTCAACCGGATGAAAATGTCGAGTTCCAAGTGGCTCCTTTGTTCCTCGTCGTAATTTCGATAAAATAGTCCGGATTGGTGTTAATTCGGGATCAGGGTGAGGGAAATGGCCTTTTTGATGTAATTATCCACCTAGAGGGATGAAATGCGAGGCAAATGCAGTCGAAAGTTGGCAATTTTGATAAGCCTCATTATCCGGCCTCATTACAGGTGAAGCCGAAGACAGGTATGGTTTCGTTTTTTGTCTTCCAGGACCAAGGGAGGACTTTTCTTCAAATATTTCACTCTAGGGTCACTCTGCACACCATACTGGAGTCGTGCATGCAGTTAAACGAACAATTTGATCACATCTGTGTCATTTGAATATTTTTTGTAGTACTTAAAAACAAACATTTTCGGTAGTTTTGCTGTTAAAAAAAATCAAATGATTATTTTTGAGTTTTATGTTGGTTTGTGGGTGTTTGATGGTGGGAGCTTTAGTTTGAAACTTTCAAAACTTCATCCCCTACAAAGTTAAGAAAGAAGTATACAATGAGAAACTCTTGACTGGTCATTTTTTATATGAAATCTTTGTCTACCAGGTGTCTGATATTAATGTAAGTATTCAGATGACCATACCATTGCATGACTAATTTGGGGTAGATCATTGGAAAAATATTTAGTTAGATTATACAAATAGAGGATGGTACACAGATGTTTTAAGATAGTATATGAGCCAAAGAAGTTGCTAGGATGAAATAAACCCCCCAGTTTCATTGGATTTTTGTTGATACTTGAGCAAATATCTGCATTCTGAATATATATTGAACTTCTTTCTTACCTTTATGACCATTACGTAATTTTTTATAATATGAGGGATTCTATTTTGGATAATTTGTAATAGCTTTCATACGTTGCAATCTCTTGAAGGTTTTCTGTATGGAAGGGCTTAGTTTTACCGGGCATAAAAGAATAGAACAATAAATATTACAAATGTGCACTTGCTTGGTTTATAACCAGAAAAGGCTAGTTATATCAAGAGTATTGTTTGGCATTATTTTTGCCTGAGTTGGGTATTTAATCTGATAGATGCGGTCCCATTGTAAACTTTTACCTAATTTTCTCGTAGATAAGTTTACCAAATTTTCACAACACCCTTCCTTTCAGTCACTAAAAGTCTGCTTCTTTCAGGCAAGATGACGCTAAACAGAAGAGTCCTAAAGCGGGTGCACTCCCCCATGAAGTCACCCAAGCGCAACAACACCTCCTTGCGCAAAAAGGCCCTCATTAAACAGTGGAATAGTGAAGTGCAGTTTGGAAATGCCTCCAAAGCCAATCTGAAGGTGGTGGTTCGTGTGCGGCCACAGAATGCAAAGGAGGTGGACTGTAATGCAAGGTTAGTGGCTATTTCTTTTGAAAGGTCGGAGAAAGTCATATGTTCATTTTTAGAGTTCAAGAAGATTAGATGCATTTAATGAATTGCTGGCCAAAATGGAGGATTTTGTGATGTCCATTTGTATATACAGATAGTCCCCTACTTAAGAACATTCTACTTATGAAATTCCATACATACAAACAAAATTTTTTTAAGTACTTAAGTCCAAAAAAAATGTTTGAAAGATGCTAGCAAACTTCAAATTTCCTGGGCACGAATATAGTCAAGAGTCTGGTACTGTATAAGGTATGTCGTACTTATTGGGATTTATTTACAGGTATTCTTAGTGTAAACAAAACTTTAAAACAATGGGAAAAAAGGTAATGGAGACCTAACTTTCGACATACAAACAAATCCACTTACAAACAGCCTCTCGGTCCCCATTATGTTCTTAAGTTGGGGACTTACTGTACCTTATTTTCATTTTAAGGTGAAATTTCTTATAATAAATCATGCCACATGATAAACATATTTGAAGATAAAGGATTTATTTGTTTGTTTGATATTTTACATAATGCTTAACTAATTTCAGATGTATTGTGAAACTAGTAGATGACCATATGATGGTCTTCGACCCAAAAGAGGAGGAGGATGAGTTTTTCTTTCGGGGAGTGCGGCAGAGGACCAGAGATTTAAACAAGAGACAGCATAAGGAGCAGAAATTTGTCTTTGAACGGGTCTTTGGGGAGGATTCTACCAATGAGCAAATTTATGAGGAAACCACTAAAGATCTTGTTGATACTCTCCTAAATGGGTATAATTGTTCAGGTAATGTAACCCAGTGTTAATGTTCATTCATTTCAATTACTTTTATACTTTATTTTCAAAAATAGAAATCTTGTATCCTCTCACATTCCATATCAAGTTACTTGCATTTTTTTATACTATTAAGATAAACCAAAAGAATGATTGTATATTTAAACATTTGTTACTACTCATTATAATGTTAATGTGATTGTCCTAATGGTACAGTTTTGAAATTGATGTGTAGAATTGGTTATTTTCAGTGTTCGCTTATGGCGCAACTGGGGCTGGGAAAACCTTCACAATGCTCGGAAAGCCAGATTGCCCGGGCATCACCTTCCTTACCTTGATGGAGTTGTACCGCCGCATAGAAGAAATCAAGGAAGAGAAGACTTGCGAAGTTGGAATATCGTACCTGGAGGTTTGTCTAGATTATTGAAGTATTTTGAAGTCTTATGAAGATTGCAGTTTTTCTTTTTCTGATTCTTAATCCACCTTCCTATCTTTTTATTATTCTGACCTGGTATATCCAAAATGTAGGACTCCGCCCTTTTCATGACATAACATCCAACTGCACTTACACAGGTCTATAATGAGACTGTGAGGGACCTCCTGAATCCTGGGAAAGCCCTCAACGTGCAGGAAACCGGTCAGCACATCCAGGTCCAGGGGCTCTCTTTCCACAAGCCCAAAGATGCCGATAACCTCATGCAGATGCTGGCTTGCGGGAATCAAAACCGGTCCCAACACCCAACTGACGCTAATGCCGAATCGTCCAGGTCGCATGCAGTCTTTCAGGTATGGTGGTTGTTTCTCATTCTTGTTCGCAAATATCTGAACGTGTTGCAAAATTAAATGGCCATATAAATTATGAATTTCATGTTTTGTGGAGGGGGGATATATATATATATGTGTGTGTGTGTATGTTTACGTAAACATGTATATGTATCATGTATGTATGTCATATATATATGTATACATGTATATGTATGTGTGTATATATATGTATATATATATATATACGTATATGTATACAAGTATATATATATAGATAGATATATTATAATAATTTGTAGTGTGAGCAGCAATTAGTAATTTTATTTAAATCTTGTGAATGTGGTTTAACCCCTTGGTGCCGGGTGACGCTGATCAGCGTGTACACAAAGAGCTCGAAAGCTGGCGTGCAGCCGAATGAGCCGGCGGCGAGCCAGTGATTCGGGCTGATGTCCCCTACTCACATGCTCAAAGTCGGCGCACCGCCTTTGTTTGTTTAAGCGTAGAGATGATGATGATTTTTTTTTTTTTTTTTTTTTTTTTTTTTTTTTTTTTTTTTTTTTTTTTTTTTTTTTTGTACACCCGGCACCATTGGGTTAATGAAGTATCAGTTATATCTGCTAGAATATGTTTCTTTCTGTGTTGATATATAGATATGTTTGTGCATAAATCATATAATGTGTTTTAATCTTCAGATATTTGTGCGCCAACAAGACCGTACAGCAAATGTAAAGTCAAATGTGGCCATTGCAAAATTATCAATGATTGACTTGGCTGGTTCTGAACGTGGTTCTGCCACTGGATTTAGAGGAGCAAGATTCAGGGAAGGTGCTAACATCAATAAGTCCTTGCTGGCACTAGGTAAGTGGTATTTGCACAATTATGGACTTTTCTTTGTCTAAGCTGATATTGTGGTGTTGGGTATTTTTACACAGTACAAAATTTTTTGCATGTGGAGAGGTTTGTCTGGAATACACATATTTTGCAATGTATTTGGAGGGTTTTTAAAATTTTATAACAATAGGATCCACCCATGTTCTTAATGTTCATATAAAGTGGCCTTAATGTTGACAATCTATATCATAAAATCTTTTCATTTCTCCCAGGAAACTGTATCAATGCTCTCGCTGATGGACAGAAACACATTCCTTATCGAGACAGCAAACTGACTCGTCTCCTGAAGGACTCTATTGGTGGAAATTGTCGCAGTGTCATGATTGCTGCTATATCTCCAGCTTCCACAACTTTTGAAGACACTTTCAACACTCTTCGATATGCTAACAGAGCCAAAACTATTAAAACTACTGTAAGTATCTGTGTTAGGAGGTATTGAGTTTTTTAGTGTACAATAGATGGTAGACCACTCTTCAGAGAACATTTGTTTTATAAGGGAATTACGGTTATTTTTAGTCATTCCACAAAAATCTTTCAAATTATTTTGTAATGCTAATTTGTACTTGTGTGATGAGTCAGCCTGCCTAATTAACCACTTTTCCTTTCAGCTTAAGAAGAACATCATGAACGTTGATCAGCATGTTTCGCAGTATGTCCAGATAGTGGATGATTTACGGAAAGAAATATGTAGCCTGAAGGAAAAGGTAAATGCTTTATTATTGCACCCATATTTTATATTTTTTTATATACTAATTATGTAAAATTTTAAAACCTAGACATCTTCAAGAAATGTTAGGGCAAATACAAGCTCTAAATGAAGAACAGATTAAAAATCCTAATTTACTTGTTGGTTGGATGATCCTAATAAATTAAACATCCTGATCTTTTATTTTTTAGTGGCTTTGATAAGATAGTGATTATATTATATATGAAATATCAGTTATATCTACTAGAATATGTCTCTTTCTGTGTTGATATATAGATATGTTTGTGCACAAATCATATAATGTATTTTAATTTTCAGATATTTGTGCGCCAACAAGACCGTACAGCAAATGTAAAGTCAAATGTGGCCATTGCAAAATTATCAATGATTGACTTGGCTGGTTCTGAACGTGGTTCTGCCACTGGATTTAGAGGAGCAAGATTCAGGGAAGGTGCTAACATCAATAAGTCCTTGCTGGCACTAGGTAAGTGGTATTTGCACAATTATGGACTTTTCTTTGTCTAAGCTGATATTGTGGTGTTGGGTATTTTTACACAGTACAATTTTTTTGCATGTGGAGAGGTTTGTCTGGAATACAGATATTTTGCAATGTATTTGGAGGGTTTTTAAAATTTTATAACGATAATATCCACCCATGTTCTTATGGTTCATATAAAGTGGCCTTAATGTTGACAATCTATATCATAAAATCTTTTCATTTCTCCCAGGAAACTGTATCAATGCTCTCGCTGATGGACAGAAACACATTCCTTATCGAGACAGCAAACTAACTCGTCTCCTGAAGGACTCTATTGGTGGAAATTGTCGCAGTGTCATGATTGCTGCTATATCTCCAGCTTCCACCACTTTTGAAGACACTTTCAACACTCTTCGATATGCTAACAGAGCCAAAACTATTAAAACTACTGTAAGTATCTGTGTTAGGAGGTATTGAGTTTTTTAGTGTACAATAGATGGTAGACCACTCTTCAGAGAACATTTGTTTTATAAGGGAATTACTGTTATTTTTAGTCATTCCACAAAAATCTTTCAAATTATTTTGTAATGCTAATTTGTACTTGTGTGATGAGTCAGCCTGCCTAATTAACCACTTTTCCTTTCAGCTTAAGAAGAACATCATGAACGTTGATCAGCATGTTTCGCAGTATGTCCAGATAGTGGATGATTTACGGAAAGAAATATGTAGTCTGAAGGAAAAGGTAAATGCTTTATTATTGCTCCCATTTTCTATATTTTTTTATGTACTAATTATGTAAAATTTTAAAACCTAGACATCTTCAAGAAATGTTATGGCAAATACAAGCTCTAAATGAAGAACAGATTAAAAATCCTAATTTACTTGTTGGTTGGATGATCCTAATAAATTAAACATCCTGATCTTTTCTTTTTTAGAGGCTTTGATAAGATAGTGATGACACTGAGAATCTGGGAATTATATATGTCACATAAACTCAAATAGTATAATGCACATTTTTCTTTAATTTTTCAAAAGCATGTATATGACTTTAAGGATTCTCAGTAAACTTGGTAAAATTTGCCTTCCAGGTGCAAAAATATGAAGAGAAGGAGAAAGAATGGACCTCCCTGAAGGAGATTTCAGAATCTAAAAATCAGGATTCAAGTCTTTTGCTCGAGCAACAAAAAGAATATGAATGCCGGATAGCTAGTATGGAAAAGGAAATTCTGGTAAGTGCATTGTTTTAAATATACATGTGTGTGTAACACTGACATCAACAAGTGTTTTTGGCCCATTGGATCCAGATGCTTCACTGGCCTCACAATCTAGTCTCTTATGACTACTTTTATTGTTCATGTCAGTGTTAATTATTGGTGTTAGAAGTATAGAAGACATGTGATTAATGACCACTTAACAGTTCCTGGCATGATTACTAAAGATTTGAGAGGGGGGGGGGGATAGAAATTTTGGTTTTACTGTATAAGATTTAAGTTGTGCAAAGTGCCTTCAAAATAATTTTTTATTTTGCTGTACAGCTGAGGATCCAGAATCTACTTGCCCAGTATCATGATTCAAATAATATAAAATCTTGTATCCTCCCCCAGGAGCTAAAAGCTAATAGTGGTGTGGTATCAGAGGTATCGGAGGAAGAGGCTGAAGTCCAGAGAAAGCTCGTGGAAGCCAGCAGTGAGAGGAAAGCACTCAGACGAGAGCTGTTGCAGTTAGAAAGTTCACAAAGGGAGGTAGAGCTCAAAATCCATACCTGTACAATGCGTCTAAACAGGATGAAAATCATTGCCTTCGCATCACAACGGCTGGACAAGGTAAGAAGGGGTTGGAAATTTCAAGTATCAAATTTCCTCTTGCATACATTTATTGGAAAATTGGTGAATGATGGCATGGTCATATGTTGCAGATTCTGTTGCACACATGATATAATCAGAACCATTACCTTTTCTCTTAAAGTTCAAGTAACTGGAGCATTAGTTCTCAATCTCTGTATCATGACACAAATGTGTCATGGTTGTCCTCCAGGTATATCACATAACATTTTGCATGTGTGTGTTTCTTGACTTTGAAGTTACTGCTACAGTGTTAGGAAAATGTAAAGTTAACATATGTTAGCAAAGTTTCTCATAAATTAAAGAATATATTTGCAAAATAATTTATAGTAGTTAATTTTCTAGGGAATAAATTAATTCTAGGTTAAATTGAAAGGTTGGGAACCATTTATCTAATGGGATCTTAGGCAATTGGTACATCATTTGTAAAATGTGTAAAATGTTTTTTCACTTTTGTTGCTCCTGCAGATATAATAAATTTTGGAGTAACAGATTGAAATAGACCTATTTAAGAAATTGTTCCTTTCATAAAATATAATGTTAATGTTTAATTTATCTTACCAGAGTATCTCAAAGTGTGAGCGCACTATTCGTAACCTTGGCATCAGGCTTAGCCAGACAGAGAGACTACAGAAAAGTGTTGAAGCTAAGTTGAATGCCAACTTGGAAAAACTTCATGCTGCACAGAGAGCTTTGAATCAGTGGGGACCAGGATCAACCCAACCATCTCATGCTTCACAGGCACTTATTGACAAGAATGAAACTGGTGTAAGTATGCTTTTTTTTGTGTGTGTGTCTATCTATCTTACATAGTAAAGTTATTTTTCTTTTTACTCACCACATGAAATTAATGTTAGAATTCAGAATCATCATTTTGTACATTAATTGAATGAACAAAGCAGGTAGACTTCAGATGTTATGTTTTTGCAGCTGGCTTACCGTGACCTTCACCAGCTGGCAGACTACTTGAGAGGAATGGTGAAAGAAAGTTTCAATGAACAGAGAGCCAGTGAACAGCTGATTTGCCAGCTACTGAACACCACTAAACAGTTCTATGTACAGCTACGTGCCAGTAACCAGTGTACACCAGAGATGGAAAAATACTTTGAGGTTAGTTGGTACCTTTTAATACATTTTGCATATTTAGGAAGTAGAAGTGTTGTACTATTAATTGCTTTGAGGGATGAAATGTGGCTGATTTTAAGGTTCATATAGATCTGTAGAAGCTGATAGCAGCTGTTTGATAGCTTCATTAATGCAGTCACTTGGTTATTATTCATTATAATAGTTTAACAAGTCAGTTTTAAAGTGCTGGTTTATAATGGTTTATATAAATCATATGCTTAGTTTAGCAGGGGTGATCATCAGTTCTTGGATATGATAAAGAGATTTAACTAAACTTGAACTGTTAGAAGAATCTAATACTGAAACAATTATTAAGGAAAAGAAGTAAATAAATAAATTAGAATAGTAAATTCTGATATAAAGATAGCATGCATGGCAATACATATGCTTTTTATATGATATCTGTAGAATTAGTTTAAGTAGAAACATTCATACTGCAGTTCCAACTATGACTTACCCCAGTTTTCTACTATACAGCCCATTTTGTTTGATGTGACTGTTTTAATGGTAGGATTAGCATTGTTTCTGCTGAAACATAAAGTTTTACCAGTTGTGTGTGATTTTTTTACTCTCATGTGAACAATCTGTAATTATTATTGTTTGGTGCACTATATTGTCAGGCTAACTCCTCATGGTGAACAATGAAATTAATTTAAAAAAAAGTTTGATAAGTAGAACTTCTAGATTATATAACAAAGGCTATCAGACTTTTTTCTTTTTCTTTTTTCTTCATTAGTTTCAATATTTGAGTTTGAATTTTCAAAAAAATAAAAATAAAAAAAAATCAGTATTATTCAGAATATATATACAAAAAAAATCCTTGGTATCAAAATAGTATACTTTCTACTCTACAGAATGTACCATAAATGAAGAAAATCATACAAGTTTTTATAAAATTATAAGGGGAAAAAACTAAACATGTAAGAGATACAGCAGTCTGAATATTTACATTAAGGGATCAAAACACTACAGACTTGAATTGCTGTTGCCATGACTTGCTAAGAGCTTATATGTGCCAGAGAGTTGCCAGATGTTGATTCAAGTGAATTCTATGAGCACATGAATAATTTTTAAAGAAAAAGGTAAATATTCAACTAAACATTACTGTGACAGTTGCCTCTAACCAAATAACTGATATCGGCAAGGAAAAGCCTGAACTATTATTTTCTGCCGCTGATTTTCTTTTTTACATTTGCGAAGGTGTGCCCCTTGACTTCATGGCATGGACTTCCAGCATTTCATCATTATTACCGTTCAGTTAATGGATGAGTATTTCTTCGGTACATGTTAATTAATCTCATGACTAGAGAACTACTCATCCATCATACTGAGTACATTAACAAAGTGGACCAAGAATAAACAGGAAAGCAACAAAACACTGTTACGTACATCTTCAAAAGTGCATGTAAACAGAGAGTAGGCTATAAAGCCAAATTTTATACTGGATCGCACCATTACTTTGGGTAAGTGGAACTCTGGTTCATGTTTATTATAAATCATGACTAGAGTCTCACTTATCCACAGTGATTGGTGATGATAACTTCACCTGTGTTTTATCAACAATAGTAATAGCAGTGTTTTTTTATGTAAGTTACCATATACCTATATCTGAAAATTGTAATTTTAAATAATATTCATAAGGTACTGATTGTTTTGCCATGTTTTTTGACAGAGTATCGTAGAGAAAATGGATGAAAGCAAGATCATATGGGCCGATCAACACCAGGAAAATAAAGAGGATGCACCCAGTGTTCCAGAGGAGTCAGTATTAGATGTGAATCGCCTCACCATCTTGCCAATTACAAGCAGTGTGTTCATTTCACCAGCTACTATGGTTGATCAGAAGATGTTTAGGTTAGTGTTAGCACTCTTACATGATCATAAAACCTATCAACAAGTCAGATACTGAACACCCCAAAATGCTTAAGGTATACTAGACACTGATCATAATTGAGTAATATCAAAGATATTCTAAATATAAAATATGCCAAAGGTATACTGAACACTTCACCACCCTAAGGGTGTAATTTTTTGTAAATGAAAGGCATATTTGCCAATTTAAAGTTATTATTATTTATTTTACTTTTATTTTATTTTTTCAGGAGGTCGATTATGAAATCCAGTAAGAGTACATCAGCTTTACCATCAGCAACTCTAAACCTGGGTGAGCCATCTGGGCTTAACTTGTCGAGTGTGGCTGAAAACTTTATCCATGACTCTCCCACCACTCCTAGAATACTGAACTTCCAAAGCACCATCCCCGATTCTCCTGTGCTCTCTGGCTTTAGTCTTCCAAACGAAGATGGCAAAGTGAAATCTGAAGAACAACAGGCAGAGGTCTGTACCCCAGTACCTCCTTCATCTACTGCACAACAAAAACCTGAAAAGAGTGAATCTGTCGAACCAAAAAGCCAAACTAAAGACTTTGGATTTGTTAGCATGACTGAAGGATGTGGAATTAATACATTAAATGTCATGAGAAACTTGTCCACAAACCTTGATAAAACAGAATTGTTAGAGGACATTCAGCCTATTGACTGCTCAATTAATGCTACATTCGCTATAACACCAGCAAAGAGTCTCAATACAACAGTTGATATACCTACGTGTCTTCCAAGCTTAAATGCTACGATGGATATGCCAGGAAGCCTTCCAACCTTAAACACCACAGTTGATGTGTCTGCAAATATTGCAGGCTTGAATACTACAGTTGATTTGCCTACTAAGAGTGTCACTGTGGAAAGATCTACACTGGGAAAACTAAATACAGCTGCTAACATGTCTACTATACAGTCTGTTTTAAATACTACTGTTGAAGTTTCAAAGCCTTCACTCATGACTACCTCTGTTGGATCAGGTTCTAACCCTTCCTTAAAAAGGAATACAAGCAAGCCTAATCTGCATTCCACCATGAGCTTCTCTCAGCCTTCACTTTTGAATGCAACAGTTGATATGTCCTCCAAGCCATCAATTTTGAATACAACAGTTGATATGTCCTCCAAGCCATCAATTTTGAATACAACAGTTGATATGTCCTCCAAGCCATCACTTTCAAACACTACAGTTAATCTTACTTCAAATCCAGCCTTAAATACTACTATGGATATAGTGTCAAAGCATTCAAGTGGAAGTAATGCTGGTGAAGCTTCTAATTCTCGTGTTACAAATACTGAGAGTACCATAAAACCTGTGATATCCCTTAAATTGGATGTGCCAACTATTCAGTCTAGTATGTATAATCAAAATGCAGTAGATAAAGTGAAACCATTTGGGGAAACTTATGCAAAGTTACCAAATACGAATATCCCAAATGATGCCCTTTTGCCTCCGGAACCAGTGACTTTGAAGACAGCCTCAAGACAGTTATTTAGCTCTGGTTTGGACTCAACATTTTGCGTAGAAGATGACCAAGTAAAAGCCAAGGACACAACTGATACAGGCTTAGGTATGTTTTATTTATTTATTAATTTTTCTACACTTCTACTTCTCCATCACCCCCCAACACCTAATTCTATCCTTATAATCCAGCCATTGCAGTGTTCCTCATACTTTGTCACACAGGTACTCTCCATTTTATCTAATCACCCTTAACCTCCTTCCCTCTTTTACAGATCCATGCTCCAATCCATTTACTCCCCCTCTACCCTTTTCGTTTCCAGAGTATTCTACAGCACTCTACAACCTTTAACATCCAACACATTTTGTCGTAATCATTAACACACATTTACCTTTTTCACCACAATACTCTACCATAGTGCTAAAAGACCTCTATTGTCTAGCACATTATTTGTTTTAACCTTTAGCCATTTTTCTACACATTGTAATTAATTGGCCTAAGCCCTGTTGCAAATTAAACTCAGTTTTGTATATCTTCCCTGTACAGCTTTTATTCAATTTTTACATACTGATGCCATTGGAAAAATGTAACTGATTGGAGTATCTTGCTTTGTAGGGTGCAGGGTTGAAAATTTAAAATCTCCGGAGCTAAGTAGTACCCAGTTAAGAAGGATGACATTTGAGGTACAGCAGCATGGCCCTCTCATCAAGCCTGTGGAAGTTCAGCCAGCCAGTGACTCTCTCATGCCCCCACCTACAAAGGTCTTTTTGCTGATACATGTATTTTAGTATTTATTGTATATCGACTGTGGTCTCTGAAAATAAAAAATGCACCATAAATTCTGTACATTGAAGAATATTGTATTTGAGTTTTATATGTTTAGACACATCTTCTATCCAGAAAGGTTTAATACATTAGATATCAGCAGTAAAATGTGAGCTGTGGTACTTGTAATGCGAGTTAGTTATTTCTTGTACAGTATGAGTGTTTGTTTTAGGGAAATATGAAATATGTATGATATATCTTAACTTTTACATGTTCGAATGTCACTGACGAGGATTTTTATTGGTAGACTGTCAAGGGGATCTTAAAGAAGACACCGCAGAAAACGCCCACACGTGGAACCACACCAGGAAAAGGGACACTTGTAGGCAGGAGCTTCGGTAAAACCACTACTCCTGGGAAAAATATCACGCCTGGCAAGAGTCAAATCTCAGGGATGAAAAAGAGCCTGAGCACTTCTGCCCTCGGTCCTTACCAGTCCAATTCTCTAAGAACCAGCGGCCAGTCAGTGGCTAACAATAAGCAGAAGTTAGCAGGTATGTAAAATTAATGTAAAGGAACATATTGGATACCAATGTATCTAATTTTATTAGACTTTGTTAAATATCAAAATAATAGGGTTTTCATTACTATTACTAATATTATTTACTTATTTTAATTACCAGAACTTCATTGTAAAACTTGTTGTATGGTTACATGAATACAAATATTAATCAGTGATTTGTAAATTGTACAAATAGACTGGCTATAGTGATATTTGTGCTTCAACCATCTGGTAAAGAATAGCAATCATTTGACAGGTCTTGGAGCAGCTCTACGGCGTACTTCAAGCTTCCTAAAGGCAAGAGGACAAATGAGTAACCAGGAGAATGTTCCACCAAGTCAGAGGGGGGCATATAGAGACACCTTGTCCTCTTCAGCAAAACAGTCATCACACTTTCAGTATAAGCCATAGGGATGGCAGTCATCTTGCCTTGATAAAAATTTAGCTTGGGGTGAGAACCCTGATAATAGTAAAACACAAGTGATGAAGACAGAAGATGTGCTCATAGATTTTGCCAACAAACCAGGTTTCGGGTCAAAAGTTGGTTTTCTGCAAGAGAAATTACAAGTGTTTTCCTATAGTAACAGTGTATCTCATAGTGTCAAAGATTCTTCTGAAAAAGTGGAAAAAAGCAGTAGTATACAGCCTTGGAGTATGCACACCATGCCATGGACACTTGGTGTGAATAAAAGAAAATTATATCCAGTGTTTGCTTACTTGCCAAAGTCTTTCTGATCTCTTAAATTTTTTGTATGCTTGCGTGCACAAGGATTTGACTGTCATCTGTTTCCCACCGTTCTAGTGAGAGGGAAGTAATGTAATAATATAAAGTAATGGAGATGTTATTATATTTCTTTTTCTTTTTCTATATGATACTGTAAATCATTAATGTATGTTTTTTATGTAAATAGGATATCAGTTTATAGAAAAGATTATTGAAATCTTACTAGTTTTATATTGTTTTTTGTATAAATTTGACTGTAAAGAATTATCATCATAACCATTTTAATAGCAAATGAAAATGTGAGTACCTGTAGTGGCTTGGTCCATAGGTACCACTTTCACTCATTTTATTTCCCTACATTCGCTTGGAAGTGAACAAAAACTGTAAATTTATATATTTATAAGGAAATATTAATTACTCTTTCCCTCTTCTTTCTTTCCACAGATGTATTATCTGTTAAATATATATGTTACAAAGTGCTATCTCAATAAAGATAATAATTTTAATGATGCTTTATTATTTACCTCGTGTACCCTTTCTAATATTATATCTTGCTATAGTACTAGGTGTCTAGCATTTTTATTTTGCTTTTAACCATTGACCATTCACCTAATGTATTTTATATCATTTGTTTTCCTCTACAAATAAGTATGAAAGGATATGTCAGTGTTCAGATGCTACGTGTAAACTCTCCATAGATGACTTAACCCATTCGCCACACGTGGCAAGAATAGATGCCATACCCACTTTGAGGCACGTTTATCTATTGTATTTACACATAGATGGCTCCACAAGTTCTTAATCACCAAACAGCCAGTTATCAAGAACTACCTATTTCACCTGTTTACCCTTTTCCTTCACTTTAGGAAAAGTTTTTTTGTATCATTTCATTGTCTAAAATATTCTAATGACAATTTAATAATCATAACATCAATAACAATAATATCGATAGCAATGGTATTATTTTTCCCGCCAATTCAATGAATGGGAGAATCAGGGTCGGTAACTAGGGCCTACTAATAGACTCCTTGCCGGCTGAGTACATGTGGAGCCATCTGTAGGTAACAATATTCATCAAAAACTACAGAGGACAGAACATAATTCCGTGGCGAATGGGTTAGGCATTAGAAAAAAATAAAATAAAATAAAAGCCATTGTATCAGTAAAAGTTGATATAAAATGCTGAACAAATGGTATATAGGTATACATATACAAACAATGACTAATATTCCTTTGTTTAAAATCATGAAGGGTTTACAATATGGAAATAGATTATAAACTGACTAAATTGTGCAGCTTAAAAATCCTTAGACATTAACTACTGGACTTGGTTCAGGTCTCCTCCTGACCTGACGTATTCTAAGGCTAGGTGCTGTAAATGAATTGAGTTCCATCCACATGCCCAAGCACTGCCTCTTATTTGGGCAAATCAACCGAGTGCCTATGCCAGTGGACAAAGGAAATAACCAGATAAAGCTATTTGCTGCATAGTTTGACAGTTTCCTGCCAGGTACAGATGGACAATCAGCACCCCAGTGTGTACAACATGTGGTTTTGCCAGATAACGGGGAAAGTCTGCCAGGAATTGTTTGATCATTTGGATAGAGCCTTAGGGAAA